GCTGCACAGGACCTTGTCCAGGCGGGTCTTGAATATCTCCAGAGAAGGAGACTCCACAACCTCCCTGGGCAGCCTGGGCCAGGGCTCTGTCACCCTCAGAGGGAAGAAGTTCTTCCTCATGTTCAGACGGAAATCTGCAGATCTGTGATCCTGTGATCAATGACTGAGTTCTCTCACCTTCACAGGAACTGATATTCAATGGCTGGAAACGGAGGTGACAAGTGGCTGAGATGAATACGACTACTATCCTGCAAGAGGTTTTGATTAAAAGATCACAGCAGAAGAAGAGGACTTCTCCCTTGAACTACAAAGAGAGGCTTTTTGTACTTACAAAGTCCACGCTAACGTATTACGAAGGCCGAGCGGAGGTAGGAGACAGATTTACGTTATCAACTGCCTCTGTTCCTTTTTGCTTTTGTATGCTATTGGCTTTTTTCCTACCATCTACCGTGCTGTCAGGAGCGGATGGGGGCAATGACCGTGGGTGGCGATGAACACGAGCTGCCATTTCTCTTCTATTTATAATGCAGATTCGGTAGTCAGTGTGAACTGGTTCTTAATCGGTGCAGTAGTACACAGCCAGGGTGCCAGCAGCAAGACTAAACAGGCTTTATAGCTGGTCATCAGAGCTGGGCTTTTTCCCCTCTCCAGAGAGATGAAGGATCCCCACAAAGTGGGGGGAAGGTAGGAGAACTTGCAATTGTAGTTGCTTGTGGCCATGTTTACTGTGAAGGCCGTTACCTTCACAGCTGGGAATTAACTGAATTCAAACAGGAGGATGCACATTTGACAGGAGCAGGGTGCTGCAGACCGAGCCCACCGGAGAGGAGATCTGTTAGAGAGGGTCGTGTAACCTAGGGATGGACGTGAAGCTGGAGGCAGTTTACCTTTGGCAGCACGAGCAGCTCATCATGTTTGCCACTTTAGAGTTACACCAGAAGTCAGTAGGGCAAACAAGGCAAATCCTCAGACCAGCACTTTTTCCAGTGAGCTCCAGGCTCGGTTTCATCACGATCTCCTGTCCCCAGAGTGCCTCACCAGATCTTTAGTGCTGGGACTGACATTTTCCGCTTAACTGAGGCTACTTTCCACACCTGTCACAGTGCTGAAGGGGTTAAAATGGCTGCAGTAGCTAGTGGAGCGTGCTTTACGCTCCGGGAAGCCATGCAGCAAATAAAACCCCATGGAGGCAGCTCTGCAACCCGTTGTGTCAGATGTCTTCCCTCTGACGAAGGAAGGGGGTACAGGAGAGCGAAGGCTTGCTGAGCACGTTTCTCTGGAAGGGAAGGGAGCTCTGGAGGGCATCTGCCCAAACACACCCACTCAAGCAGGGCCACCTAAAGGCAGTTACCCAGGGCTGTGTCCAGGCGGCTTTTGAGTATCTCCAAGGATGGAGACTGTACAACCTGTCTGGGCAACCTGTGCCGGGGCTCACTCACCCTCACAGGGGAGTTAAAAAAAAGTGTTTGCTGATGTTCCAGTGGAGTCTCCTGTGTTTTGGTTTGTGCCCATCGCTTCTTGCCTTTACATGGGGCACCACTGAAAAGAGCCTGGCTACGTCCTCTTTGCACCATCCCTTCAGGCATTTATGTACATTAATAATATCCTCCCTGAGTCTTCTCTTCTCCAGGCTGAACAGTCCCAGCTCTCGCAGCCTTTCCTCAGAGCAGGGAAGCTCCAGGCCCTTCACCATCTTCATGGCCCTTTGCTGGATGCTCTCCAGTATGCCCATATCTCTCATGTACTGAGGAGCCCAGAACTGAAGACAGAACTCCAGGTGTGGCCTCACCTGTTGCCAAGTCATGGTCAACCTGGTGTCCAGCAGGAACCCCAGGCAATTTCTGCCAAGCTGCTTTCCAGCTGGGCGTTCCCCAGCGTATGCTGGTGCCCGGGGTTGTTCCTCCCCAGGTGCAGGACTTTGCACGTCTCCTTGTTGAACTTCATGCGGATCCTGTCAGCCCATTTCTCCAGCCTGTTGAGGTCTCTCTGGTGTGACAGCCACTGCTCCTGGTTTGTGGTGTCATCAGCAAGCTTGCTGAGGGCACACTCTGCCCCATCATCCAGGTCATTGATGAAGGTGTGAACTGGACTGAACTGGGGGTACAGCGCTGGTCCCTGGCCTCCAGCTCGGCTTTGCTCTGCTGACCACCAGCCATTCAGCCAGTTTTTAGTCCACCTCGGAACATGAATTTGTGTATTTTTACTGACTGTGAAGTCTTATTTTAGAAAGCTTTTATAATTTTTTTTTTTTAGAATGCCTCCCCCCTTCCCAAGAATAAATAGGTAGGGGCTAAGCAGCCCTCTGAAACATTTGGGTCAAACAGAAGTGTCACTAACAGGTTCTGCAGGTCTAGTCGTCACCATTTAAGAAGTGGCCACTTCCAGCTTTCCCTTCGCCCTGCAGGTTAATACCCTCTGGCTAAAATACCCTGCCAGGAGACTTACTGGTGGACCTTCCTGAGAGGGGCTTGGAGAGCTCTGTTTGCTTTGCAGCGTGGTGGAGCAGGGCTGCACGCGGTGCCCGCAGCTGCGGAGGTGGTAACTCCTAAAAACGTTCCAGCCCGAGATAAGAACTGCTGGGGTGAAAACAGACCTGACACCCACGCTAGCCCAGCCGTTTGCCGCTGAAACAGGCGGGTCCGTCGCCTCCCTGTCCTCCCTGAACTGGTCACGGCGCTTCTGGGGCTTGGTACTGCTCCGGAAAAGCTCGCTGATCAGCAGAAAGACACTCGGTCTGGTTTTAACGTTGCTGGATTGGTGTTCTGCTGGGCGAGCGAGCTGCATTAGCTGGGTGCAGGATCCGGCGAGGGCCAAAGGCGGTGCCGGGCGGTGGAGGAGGACACGGGATGCTCCGGCTGTCGGCATCAGCAAGCTGTCAGACCGGCTCAGCTGTAGCACGCAGGTTTCCAACCTCAAAACCTACTCGTTTTCACTGTTCCTCCCACTTCTGATCCCTTAAAACATTAATCAGCATTTTATTGACAGTATTGGCTGAAAATAACAAGCTCTGATCTTGGAGAGGGGCACTGAATACACTTATGTCAGCAACACTTGGTCTCTATTTGAACAAAAAAAGATTACAGCGTGACTAAGATCTCTGTGACACAGTGGCAGTTATTCCTTTTTGTCACTGGCAACTGAAATGGAAGAAGTTTGGTGATTTTTATCGGCTGTTGGGTTTTTTTTAGCTGATGGTGGCTGTAAATTTGTATTTACAGTAAGACAGCTGTGTATTCTGGCTGAAGTAACTTATATCAAAAGAAAAAAATTATTAGAGATTAAAATAACTCTGGCCGCTCTGAATAGTTGGGGGGTGATTGCTGAAATAAATGTGACTTGTGCATGCTGGTTGAACGTAAAGATATGACAGATAAGAGGATAGGTACGGGCTGATCTCATGTCAGGCTTGGCAATATTCAAAGCCCAGATTGGGAAGATAAGTGTGGAATTCCCAAGCCCAGAGGATCCCACACCCTCGTTTTAATCGCACAAGTGCCGTGGCAGCAGTCTGCCCAGGGTGGCTGCGTTCTGCTCCTCTAGCCAAGCGGACGATCCCCAGTGTGGTCGTTGGCCAAACCGAAGTATTTTCTTGGTTTTTTTTTTTTCCATTTTAACTTCTATGTGAATTCAGTAGAGAGAGTTCAAGAACAACCTAGGGTTTGCGGTCACGTGAATAGTCATACCCCTTCTTTTTAAAAACAAGATTAAATTAAATCTCGCTCACCAAATTAGTCAACGCTCAAAGTGTGGGCAAGCTGGGACTGTAAATAAGGCAACAGAATTAGATACTTGGTATGTCCGGTGGCAGAAGTGGAACATTTACGACAGCAGAAAGCAATCAACCATAGCAAATGTTGTTCTTGTGAATGCTGCTGAGAGCTTTAATTGACGCCGTTCTCTGCAGCCGGTGGTGGGGGATCGCTTGCTCTTTGACCAGAAACTGCACATTGTAGAAGCGCTCGTCTCTATTTTTTGTTTTCTGAGTCTTGACAAAGCGCCACGTACCTATTTGGAGCAATAAACTCATATGCATGACTGCTAGCAACAGGGCAAAATCGTGTTTGAACTTGCTCATGACCTATTTAAATCTTCTCATGTGTGCTTTCAAGCAGCTCGGGCACCCTGTCATGGCACAAGGCTCCTGCAGTGAAGCTGCACTGCTACCAGGAGCAGGAGAAATGTAGCTTCTGCACTTGCAAATACTGCTGGACTGCAGGGCACAGAGGAGGTGTGCAAACCATCAACGAAGCGTAGCTACAGAATCAGTACAGAGGCTGACTTTCAAAATTGATTTCAAAGCACAGAAACCTGAGGAAGGAGACTCCTGGTTGAGGTCACCCGTGCAAAGTCCTACAATTATGAGTAATGTCATGGGAAACTGCTGTAGGAAGCCAATAGGACCTTGGCTTTTATGGCTTCACTTCTTCTGGGGATTATGCTGTTTGGTACAAAAAAATGGAAGATGTATCACCTGAAGTTTAAAAAGATGGACATCTTGCATCTTCAACTTAAAGTGCTCTGGAGTTTATTTTCAAAGTTGTGGTGCGTTCACACTTTCAGCGGACTCTGGAAAAAATCAAACCTAGTGTTTATCTAGGAGTCCATCTTACCACTGAAATTGGAAATACTTCAGCAAATATTTCCATTATGGTTGTAATGGAAAGGAATACTCGCTTTGCAGCTCTGCCAGTGTGCCTGGTGGCTGAGGTCCCATGGGGCAAGTCCCCCCCACGCTCCTTCGCAGAGCGGCTTGGCTGCTGCAAAGAACAGCGGCTTTTACTCCTCTGGAGTTAGCCAACGGGACAGACCACGCAGAAACAGCAGTCGAGCTGCTGTGTCCGCCAAGTACTCTTGGTTTATCCTCCTTCTCTGGAGATATTCAAGACCCCCCTGGGCAAGGTCCTCTACAGCCTACTGTAGGTGACCCTGCTTCGGCAGGAGGGTTGGACTAGATGACCCACAGAGGTCCCTTCCAACCCCGACCATTCTGTGATTCTGTGATTCTGTGATTCTGCTTGCAAGAAGTTTTACTGCAGTGAACTCTTTCTCAATGAACGGTCAGGAGATGTCTGTGAACTGGGAGGTGATGTCCGATGGCCCTGCCTGGAACAGGCTCATTGCTGCGTTACAGAATAGTCCTGATGGCAGCTAACACGTACTTCACACAAGTTTTAGTTAGCTCCTGCTTACAGAACAGCTCACTTGAACTAGAAGTGCCACCGGACTAGAGGTTTTTGCTCTAGATGTCATTTTGGGTAAGGGAAATTGTTTGAGATGAAGGCGAGATAATAAATGTAGGTGTTAAAGTACGTCTTGTCACTGGAGTGGTTGAAAGGAGCTGGTTTGCGCAAGTGAGATGTCCTGCTAG